AACTGAAATGGCACGCGATGTATTTAAGCACGCGGGGTTCACCACTCACTACCCCCATAAGGGCAGGCCATCCTTGCATCCACCTTGACAATCGCTCCCCATAAGGCTACAGAAGGTGTATTCGACATTCTCAATGCACGTCCCAGGATGCTATGAGCCCGTCTAGCCCACCGCATCTCACTTCCATCCAATGTTGTTGCTGTTGTCGCATGCTGTACTTTTTACACAGACTGTTTCTCATCACTTCCGGCTACAGTTCTTCGGGATAAATCACTGATGAATGGGTTACCCCCCTCTGTCTGGCGGGGGCAGACTGGAAGCGCATTTCAGCAGTAATTCTGTGGCTCTGCTGCAAACCAACGCCATCTCCAGCAAAAAATGTTTAAGCCAGCCCGCAAAGAACAGCGTTTTCACACGGCCATAGCGTTGGGTGCCATATGACTTAGTCTCGTGATAATGTCAAAGCATCGCTACACAAAATGCAGTACTACGGGGTCTTGTTTACAAACGTACTACGATATCGACTTAGTCCCAAAATTGTCATTCTAGAAAATTTCCAATGAAGAATGGAACTTTGAGAACTATAAGTAATACCAGGCCATGTAATATTATAATTTACATCATCTTTGTATCATGAGCTTCAAACGACCAGCGAGAAGAAGGAAAGCTGTCATCAGATTTATCCAGAAAGCATCCGAAAAATTCATCAATGCTAAGACCGATGTGATGTTAATAAAGCGTGTATAAAGAACAGTATCCTTTGCGTATATTTATTTGTATTTCTACATATGTCTATATGTATATATTTATTTATATAGCAACAGTGCATTCTGCTAGTCAATGGTCATGTGGTTAAGTCAGATTTCGCGCCAGGTAGTGGTCCAGAATCCATCAGGACAAAGGGCCATTGTAGGTTATGTCGATCGGATTTGTCATAGAAAAATTAGCTTCATTGCATGCCCCCGTTAACTGACGACAGTCTCATGGCGGGGCAATGCGAATACACCTTTAGAAATAATTATGTCTCAAAAACACTGCCGCGCCAAATGTTCACATGCATAATATAGTGTTTCGTGATTGACGGCGACAAGTTATTTAAATGCTTCTTTCCGTGAAAATGACTGCATATCGTGCATATTTCTGTTTCTTGGGAAGATTGTCTAGCCTCCGGAACATCTGGCCGAATTATGACCTGAGTGGCATAACGCGAGAGCTTTGACACCCACAGCTCGGAGTGCAAATGTGTGAATCCATGAAATGTTACGCTCGGGAAATAAATGGTTGATAGTAACATTCCTTCTGCATGCGCGTTGTCGTATGTTTAAGTACCTATGCTCGCTGCGCGTCTCAACCATCGCCCTAATTCGCCGTTTTGCATAACTTGGACTGATAGGGGGAGAGGGGGTTGATGCGACCCTCCCCCTGGCGTTCCAAACTTATAAAGATAGAGTTTGCCGAGAACACCAGCATACCGTTCTGAACACGATCTCACGACTGGCACTAGTTTTTATGTTGTTGACTGGTCAAAGGTCGAATTTCTTAGAAAACCGAACCTTGCCGCTTTACTTTGTTTACGAGAACAAGCCGTGCGGTGACATACGGTGACATTAAATACCAGCGTACCCCTGGCGACGAGGAAGTCCCGACTGAGTGGCCGGAACGGGTCCACGAGTTTAGCAGAGGGGCTTCCTGGACTGCTAGACGCTGCCACGGTATTTTCAGAATTTGCGTTTGGCAATATTGCTTGCTCTTCCCATTCAGTGTGGTCATGTTTTGAACTTCACGGTTCCGAAAAGAGCTCCTCCTAGGAGCTTCTGGACCCCTCGCCCTTCCTCCCCCCTCCCCCCTCAACAGCCAGACCTCAGTAGAGTTTTCAGCGAAGACTTAAGACCCCATGCATTTCCCGATTGGGGCCGAAGGACCTTTCTGTCCCCTTCCAGATTTCCCATCGGTTACTGTTAATGCACATGATATATTGGTCCCCTCCCTGACGCCCTGTGAAAGAAATGGCTCTGTGAACGGAATGGTTTACCCTGGATCAACGCGGGGCCACTCACCGGCCCAAAAGGGTCCCAACCGTAGCGGGTTTAATAAATAGCACAGGGATCGAAGCTCGACGCATTTGGGCCCTAGAGAAAACGGGCAGATGGACCCTGTCCGGTGCTGGTTCCTGACTGACATGAGGCTCTTCCATTAAGGCGCCTGTCAAGAAGGAGGAGGGGTGGGGGGGGGGGGAGGACTCCACTCCAGTACGAGCGAGATCCCGGGATGTCTGACATATCCGGATGTCCGGTCCGCCGGGATGTGTACCGCGGCGAACCGAGTGAAACCGAGTCAGGGGCCTCGGGCTCTGACGTGAAGATGGCAGCGTGCCCGACTGAGCTGGCAGCGTTTCGACCGCGCACGGGCTGCCCCACGAACAGGCCTCGCGCGCGTGTGGCGGGGTTCCGTTCTCGGGACGGCGCACACGTGAATACGTTCTTTATTTGGCGGCCGAGCTGCCTTGTCCGCTGGCCCGCCGCTGGCGTAGCTGCCAGCCGGACCGTCGAGCTGGGCAGGCTCTGGGCTGGTGTGTGTCCGAGGTAAGCGTCCAACCGATTGCACATTATTTTTCCCACATATATACAGTGATTGAGCGGAAGCACTGTCTGCAAATTTGGCGGGCGGCGGTTTGTTTGTCGGGACGGGCTGTAATACCGATTGGGGCTTTACGTCTCACCGGCTGCTATGGTTATTTCGAGGCGGAACGCCTCTATTACATATTTATCAGGCATTGGGTACGTGGGATGTGGTAAGGGTGTGGCCAGGGCTCCATCAGAAGATACAAAAGTCCAGACATGAACACCCTAACCACTAACCACCATGCCAATACCATCGCCCCTCTGCGGCGCGAACTGCACCCGTCTCGATAAACTTCAGACTAGTGTTGCTGAACCCTAAATTCTATACCTAGGAGGTTCTGAAGCGTAAAAGGAAAAAAGTGCGTCAAGATCGATGAAGTGGATGGCGAATACAAGCTCACAATTCTCCCAATTCATTCAGCTTATCTATCGCAAACCAGCTCAGTGACATGCACTCGGCTCCGCTGTTCAGATGGCGAATCAACAGCGCCTTTAAGCGCGGCACGTGCGTAGTGTTTTGCGTGACGTTTAGCAGGCAGCTGAACGCATTCGCAGTCAACGTTTGCTTTTTTACTTCCTATTTACTTGTAACCAGGAGTGCGGTTTCCTTTTCAGCTGCAGGGATTTCAACCCCCGCCGCAACTTGGGCTGCTGCCTGCAGATTTATGAGAAAGCGAGCCAAATTCGGAGAGACACCAATGTGTTGGCATATTATCACGGTACGCTGCGTTGTATTTTCATCGCTCAGCTAACCGACTCAGTTTGGTAAACCACGCGTGTTTAAAACGTACCTGAATAAAGAGGCGAATTGTTTGTACGCTGGGCCATTGAACGTGTCTCACCAGGGAGTAGTATCCGGATTCAGCTAATGAGACAACCCCCACCACCTCTCTTTCAGAGTAAAGGCACGTAAAATTCCGAATAAGTCCCGTTTGCGGGAGCGTGTGAAAGAATTTGCAATTGGGGAGAAGCAGGGAAAGCAGCCAAATAAAATCACTAACAATATAGGTTGGCGTGCCAGGAGCTGGATATCTATATGCGCGCCTACCTGGAGCAAACACCAAATCACTCCGCCTTACACATCAGTCATCAATTCCTTCGAAAAATAAGAACCATCACCAACACATACAGTAAACAACGAAACCAAATACCGCGGATAATTTTATCCATAGCCCACAATGCCAAACAGCAGCCATCCCGGCAAGTGCTTCCCGCGATTACTGTGCAGCTTCTGCCAAGAAGCCACCTATTTCCGATGCCACGAGCCAGGGATCAAAAGTTTTGAATTCTTTAATATGCCTGCTGCAAAGGGTGTGCTGACTCGGCAAAGGTGGTGCGCTCAAACAAAACGTTGTCCATATCCATGCACAGTGGTTTAACAGGGCAGTACCGGACCGCATGACATCAGTCGCTAACTGAGGCGGACGAAATCGGCTCCGGTAGCCCTCTATTGGCCAATATCCGAGCCATTAGGCGAAGGATTGTGGGGAAGTGGGACAGTATCCCAACCCGCGGATCTCACGCACGTTGGACTTTATGAACACTGGACTCTGCGAGCCTGAACTTTATGATTCTCCTCTGCCCAGGGGTTTTGGACGATTTCTGGACGTTATGAACGCTAGATGATGCGATTCTGGACTTTTTGATCACTGGACTTTATGAACTCTGGACGTTTCGATACGCATCATTCTTAGGCGCATTTCGACCCACTCTTTTCAACACCAATGATGCTCCTTATTTCAGGGCAAGAGGATTTTCTGAGTAGAACACAAAGGGGGCACATTATTGTTCCCGGCCAAGAGGTAAAGGGCCATTCCGTTCTACTGCGGAGCGTCTTCCGGCTGCTTCGAACTTAAATTAAAATGGCCAAAACTAGGGAGCAAATCAGGTTTTGATGATAGGTTAAGTCAGCCCTATCAGCTAAGACCCATCTCAATTGGTTTTAGTAAGTGAAATTTCTGCGTTGTAGGTGTCCAATACTTAAGGGGACTGTTTTTTATAGGTAATGATGTTTTGGGGGTGATGTGTGTTGCGGTTTATGGGGTACTTGGGCCTCGCATCGATATGGGGTATTTAGTAATTTAGGTAAAAATGATGGTTTTCGGTCGTCATTTCTAGAATAGCAGACAAATTTCATACATTGTTTCGACTGGTACTAATATTTTAAACTTTGATGAGGTTGTTTTGCCGTTTGAATTGATTGCATGCATCGACAGCAAAGTAGTAATACTGTCCGCTGTACATATGCTGTGCCATATTTGGTGGTTGTGATACCATTATGACTCACTGCATGGAACAATGAACAACCCACCACTTGCCATATCGTTGTGATTTCGGCGGGATTTCGGGGGCTGCAAAGTACGTTTTGAGGTGAAACACGGCAGGAGTATTGCTGGAGGTACAGGTTAGGTGGAATAAATATTGAGCATCGGACTGTTCAGTCAGTTTCCGTCTTTGACGTACGTACACGTTGCGTTTTGGTAAAGTGGGTAGCGTCGGTTCAGGATGCGAGTCGGCATAAGTCGCTGGCGCTTCCAACGCTTGCAATTTTAAGTCTGACACGTTTTGAAATGTTTGTGGTCTCCATGTGGTAATTGTTACCGTGTGATTGCCTGACTGAAGTCTTATTGTCTCTAATCTGGTACCTCAAAGCAAAATATGATGCTTCCTGGGCCCCTGTGTTCAGAGATGAATGAATTAAGCATTTTGAAGCTATAAGTGCTGGTTTTCACTGAACATAACTGAAATCTGATGCCCCAGTATTGTTGGTAATGACATTAAAACATGAGGGTAGGATGCAATTTTAAATGATGCAGGCATCTTTTTTGCTGATTTATGTATGAGGACAAGTCAAAACATGTTAAGAGGCAAAGCCAGTGCCATCATCTAATAAATAAAAGTCCAGAACTGTTCCAGTCTGAAAAAATCCATTCACTATGTAAGTGCAGGATTTCTGCACAATGTTGGCAGGAAGCATGCACTACTGGAGTGGGCACTTGACATTTTTTTGTGGCAATAACTTGTTATTATGCACATGGGAAATTTTGTGATGGCTTGCCAGCATCGTCACTGCAGGTTGGGTTGTGATTGTGTGGGTTTTCAGCTCTGAGTTGTGAGCTGCAAGGGTTTCAGAGACTGATAGGTAGAGTTTGGCCTCAGCTTTAATTGTGGTTCTCATAATGACTTTTGAGTATAGTGTGGTTATGCTGCCACATGCTATTTAGTGGTAGGGGGCTAACATGGCACCATCTTGAATGGCCTGAAATGAAAGTTCACTGCACTATGTAGATGCAGAAGTTTTGCTGCTGCTCTGCAGACATCTGTCTTATCAGACATTATATCAAAGATTTATCTGCCTCCAGCTGCATGGTTTGTGCCATATGCCTCATGACCAGTTTTACAATAATGTTTGTCCTCACACTCATGCTATTGGCTAGCGGTGTTTCTAGTTGGATCATGTTTGCAGATGATTTGTATGGACAGCCAGCATATATTCTGGTTGATGGCACACCATGTATGTGATACTTAAGTTTAGTTGTTTTTTTTGCCACTAGTTGTATCTGTGCTGACTAAATATTATGTATTGAGCTTTTTAGTCATGCTTTCAAGCAGACATGGCAGTTCCTGTGCTCCTTTGGACATACTCGCATATCCAGAAGCACATTGTAAACATGCTGAAATTTTTGAATTGTTATGAAATTCCTGTTCAATGGCTTGGACTTGGGATAGAGTGCTTAGTAATAGTTTATATGTTAGTGTCTGTTCAAAATAACAGTTGTGTGCCTGGAGCCTCCACACCCGCACCACACCTTCAGTATGCCACTGAGCCAGCAGCCACACCTTCAGTATGCATTTTAGGGCTACAGCATGGAACCCACATACAAAAAGAACACTCATAGATCAGTGGAAGATGTACGAAACCTCCCATGTGTAAGACCCACGCCTGGCCTGTGACCGCCCTGTCCCCATTTGTTTACAGCTTAACTCCTTTACAAAAAGCCTTAATTTCTTCAGGTCAGTAGTGGCTTATATTGCAAGTGAAGCTCACATGGAAGCCCAAGCAAGCTAGTCATAACTTACACAAATATCATGTGCCATTTGGTACAATTAATATAAAATGCAATGATCAGGGCAACCTGCATTTGTGTGATGCTTAACTTTATTTACCATTTCCTTGTATTGTAAATCTGAGTGTAAGACATCTGTAAATTATTCACCTCTGTGAATGAAATCCTGAAAGCTTTCAGTAAAGAACATACTTTTGGGCTGCTTAGGCTCTGACGCATGTCCGAGCCAGTGAATGTGGGGTGGCAAGGATGATGACGACAGCACCAACTTTTTATTAGTGATACAATTATTGTGTAGTTCAAAACCAAGCCTATGCCAATAGCATTATTGCACCCTTTTACAGTGTATTCACCCCTCCCATACCTTGTGGTGGGCAAGATATTTTGTAGTATGTTTCATTAAAAATAGAAGCATTTGAATGTCTACCCTCTCTTAATAGTGTGGGTCTACTACATCATGAAACATTTTGGCCCTTCTGAGCTATGAATTAGTGAAGAATTTACTGTTACAGCTGTGTTTTATTTTGCAGAGGATAAAATCTTTTTTGTCTTTGTACCAAAAACTCCCAACATTTTGAATTACAACCCGGCTTGGACAAGCACTGCCTCAGAGGTATTGAGTAGGTGTGAGCAGGATGGCTCATCAGCCACCACTCCTTCCCACTATAGAAAAGGAACAGCAACCCCATGGTGCCAAACAGAGGAGAAGAACAATAAAAACTGCTCATCTCACTGATCTGCCCTGCCATTGTGCCACCTCTGCAGCACCACGTCGATCCGGCAGGATGGTGGTGGTGAGCTCGTTGCCACCACCGACGGAGGGTGTGCGCGTGCAGGAGCCGTCTACGGCGGCGCACCTCGGCAACAAGCCGCTCGGCCCGGGCACCCTGTACATCGCTGAAAGGTACGGCTCGGCTCAGAACGAAATTGGGTGTGGCTTCTGCCAATGTCCTGAGTGTGTAAGCCCTCTTACAAAAATAGGCCGTCAGGTGGGCGTGCGCTTCCAAAAAGAAAATGTCCGTAACCGCTGAAAGTACAGGAAATGGGTACAACATTCCGTGGTCTGTTGAGTGCGTGAATGCACCACTGAAAGTATTTCACAGGTGCATCCCGATTACCGGGAAAAGTTGTCCTCAGATTTGCCTCCCACCATGGCGATTATCCCGGCCAACAATCACTGTGGCGGCAGCGGGCGGAATGGTCTGTTTTTCTCGCAACAGTTTTGAATTTGGAGCTCTGCCGTGGCCCCGATTTCGGACACACCAGCGTCGCGGTCTTACTTGATTCGGTTGCGGTTGACCCTGCTGGAGCTGACCTCCCGCGTGGCTGAACGAGCGACGGTCGCGTGTCCGCGGCCGGCTGTAGACCGTCGGAGGCTGGCTGGGCGCGCGTGCTGCGCCTGCCGCCCGCTGACGGTGTGCCGGCGCCGGCAGCCGGGTCTCGTGGACGGGCGCCGAGGGACAAGGCTTCTCGCTCGAGTACCCGCACATCATGCTGCACGCCGTCTCGAGGGACACCTCCAACTTCCCGCACCCTTGCCTCTACATGATGGTCGACGCGGACATCGATCCACAAGGTCGGTGCAAGCTGCGCTGTGCTGAAGGCTCCTGTCGGCCTCCGTGGTGAAGTTGTGCGCGCTCTTGCTTGGAGGCGGTGAATTTCTTTTCGGTTTAAGAATCCGGTAGATTGCTTTTGTGTGGGAGCTTGGATGTGTGTGGTTTGGGAATTGCTAAGGTAATGCCGCGCACACGCACACATAACGCCGGGCCGTGGCGCCGACTGTTCCCGACATGTGATTTCGCCTACCCACGGATCGGATCACAAGGGCCACGACTGGTGGCTATACCGCCCACTTGTGCTTGCCAGACGGGCCGGCAGATGGCGGCGCCGACAGTAGTGACGAGGACGCGGCGTCGGGCAGCAGCGTGACGGAGGTGCGGTTCGTGCCAGAGGACGAGGCGGCGCTGGACCGTATGTTCCACGCCATGTCCGAGTGCCAGTCCCTGCATCCGGACCCCAACGACAGCGTGTCGGCGGAAGGTAGGAATCATGGGCCGTCGAGCCGGGGCTCGTCGTTTTGTGTGGTATGGTGCCGAGAGTCTCGTCCGACAAAACTCTCGGCAATTCCCTGTATTGTGCCGAGCGTTTCTGCGGCTCGCAGTCGGCTCCGTCGCGTCCCCAACCCCGTTTCCGCCCCCCCCCCCCCCTCCCCGCTGCGCCCCTGCTCACCGGCGCGTGCCCCTCCCCCTCCCCGCTCGTCCCCAGGGGACGATTTCGAGGGTGACGACTGCGATGAGGGACCGGACGACGCGGGCGGAGGACTAGCAAACGGCGGTGGCGACGCGGACACCCACCAGCCGATGGAGACGGGCCAGTTCGACGACGTGGACGAGTGAGGCGCCGCGCCGTGCCGGTCCGTTGGCGTGGCGACAGCGCGACGTTGGCGGGACTCCGTCCGGTCCTCCGTCGGGGCCGGACCGATCAGACGGTCTGTACCGGACCGGACCGGACACGACACGAGCCGCGGCGCCGGCGCCAGCGACCGCGCACGCCGTCCGGGACGTCAGGACGCGTTGGCCGCGTCCCGCCGCGGCGGCGATTCCCTGACGAGGGTGCTGTCACCTAACGGCGATCTCTACGGGCGGGCGGTTCCGCGCCGCCTGAGAAGAACAGAGCGTGGCTGGTGTTGGACGCTGTGAGTCTTCGCCCGCGATCGGCGGCCGCCCATTTCGAGGGCGCCCGACACGTGCGGGCCGCGCGTTCGGACTGTTGTCGGCAGGCTCCGCCGTGCTTGTCGCACATCGCGCCACGCGATCGGGCGCGAAACGCGATTGTTGTGTACGTCAGACGGATTCCTGGCGGCCTCCTGACGCGCGTTCGTCTGACTGGGGTGATCCCTCTGTCCGTCTTCAACAGGCGAGCAGCGCTGGCAACATGTTTGCGTTCCCATCCTCGTCCCACTTGACGGTGTCATTGTCATACACATCAGTAAAGTTGTTCGATTTGGTCGTCTGGGTGTTGATTGCTGCTGAATGAAAGGCAGCCTAAAGGCGCCTTTGCCTGAGTAAAAGGCGCCTAGCGTTGGCAGTGCTTGGGGTCTCATTTGTGTGGGGGAGGGGGGGGGGAAGGGGGGCAGCCCGCGTGGGGCAGGGACTGGGGAGGGACGCGGCTTGCGCAGCAAAGCTCTGCGGACAGGTTGGCCTGCTGATGGGTGGCGATTTCGCCAGTTCGCGATGATAGCACTGGCCCATGCAAATGCATAGTGAGGTCATCAGAAAGTATGGCTGACGACATTCAGCGGACACCTGAACTTAGACTTGGACAGCGGACATCTGGACTCGGATATCTGGGATTAGGTCCTTGCCCATCGCGTGCAAACACTAAGCGCTCGCCTTAAAAGGCGCCTCATTCTGGTCCACATTTACTTATGAAAGGCGTGTGTTCGTCCGGATTGATGCGTCCAGCGATGGGCGATTAAGTTTTTAAGGTTTCAGACCGGAAAAATGAATGCCGGCCTGGTGTGGGCCACGCGAGACTGCGTTACTGCAGCGTGCGGTAGATGGCAGCACTCAGGGCCAGCCGCAGCGGCCTCGTGCATGACGTGCTGAGCCGCCGGGCAGACACGCGGCTCCCAGGGTGTTATCGCCGCTGCCTGCGCGGCACGTGGCACGCGATATCACGTCACGGGGCGGTGTGACGGCTGACAGCGGACAGGCCATCCGCTACGGCAGGTGTATCAGCACGTGGCGCGGTGCTGGCGTATCTGTTGAAGGGGGCACGCCCCCACACGTCATACCCAAACACAGACACGCTTGAAATGCTTTACGTGCATGCCCACAGAAGGATGGCGCAGGCATTGAATCTTGCGCAGCAGAGATCCCGATCGTATCAACGACTTCCGAAAACAAATCTGAAACTGACGAAGCATTCTCTTTGTTGCCGTCTTGGGTGGGCATCACCCGGTCGATCCCCCCCCCCCCCCCCTGGGACTGGCCCACGTATGGACAGTCTGCTGGTAGCACCTTTTGAAGACGGTTGGGCGGTACATTAGAACTCCGCAGTGAGGACACAGCGTGTGCAGCGAGGCTCCTGCCGTGAGGCGAATCTCCAAACCAAGGCGGGAAAGCTGTCATTCATCTCCATTACTAAACGCAGGCGTTTCCAAACTTGAATAAAGCAGCAAAAAGAAAGAAAATGCATCAACGCGATTAAACATTCAGGCGAATGTTTGAGATGTAGTATAGTGTCATAGAACAGAAGGGTGCAGTGTGCACTTTAATTTTCAAGTAGCGTGCTCCTCAGCTCAATCTTTCTTTTTTTTTGATGGCCATCAGGTGCTATCGAAGGTTCAAATCTTCCTCTTAAGCAGGGCTTATTCGCTGCGTCCCTTGTGTTCTGCCTGGTGCGCACCCGTCTGAACAGCCGACGATGGCGAGCAGCCTGATGACACTATTTCAGGCCAGCCCGTACTGGAGGGCCCCCGGTGCCTGCTGTCCCCACAGTAAGCGCGGTGAGCCTGCGACCTCCTCCTCGGCTCACCGCCGGCAGCCCGTCGCCGAGGCTGGCGCAAAAGGCGTCCCGCGCGGGCGGCAGCGGCGGCGGCGCACGTCACCTGCCGGCCGCGGGCGCTGACCCATCCCCGCGAGCAGGGCTCGCGCCGGCCCGCTCCGTTTGTGTGAGGCGCAGCGCGACCGATCAGCGCGTGCCCCCCCCCCCTCTCCCCACCTCCCCGCCACTTGCCGTGCTGTGCCGGTGGGCGGTCTGGAGCTCCAGACCGCGGACGCCTGCGGCAACGGTGTAGGTATCGGTTACGGAGCGTGTGTGAGAAGTGGCTGCGTGGGGGCAATGCCACTGGGGAGAGGTGGTCGCAAGGCATGTAAAGCGACTGAGAAGGCCACCTGAGTGTGCTCGAAATAAGCTATCGGTTGACAGGAACAGCGTGACAAGATAATGCTGGCGCGAAGCCGGCGCCGCCTTACGTTACACTTTGTGCTTTAATCGGTTTGGGGCGTGCTTATTATGTCTGCCGCCTGATGGCATTTTGATTATGATAAATGCAAGTAACGTCTAGGTGGTCTCGGTGACGAGGTTATTTCTGAAAGCGTTGATGTGGCACAATAAAGGAGATGATATGAATAAACGTTCTGAGATCGGAGTGAGAGGTGAAATGAACCACTTCAATCGTTTTCTTCGAGCGGCGAATCTTGACTAGCCGAGATGCTTGATAAGCAAACGAGCCTTGTGTGGTCTCGTTGAACACAAAAGAATAGCAAAGACATACTCGCTGCTGTTTTTTCTCTGAAGTGCTAATCAAGGTGGACATTTTAGCTGAACTGTGTCGGCCAGCATGCAACGTAGCGCACGCCGTGATTGTATATGCGTCGCAGCCAGCCGCCGAAGCTCGAATGCCGTTTGAGCAACTTCGACCTGAGCATCCCCCGGGCCTTTATGGTCTGTATTTTGTGTTGGTTTTTCCATGGCGTCGTGATCACACCCTCGGGTTCCCATAGCTGCACCCTCTCTATCCGTAATCCTATGTATCTGTCGGGCTGGAAAAAGCATCTTGGAAAGGCGGTGGCGAACGGCTCGTCTGTCTGCATCCGACCTCTTCCGACACCATCCGTTAGGACGGGGCCTGCAAGCGAGACAGCCCTCTCATTGCTACTACCTCGACATCCCGCAAAACAGCTCTAGTTTCTCGCTGCCTTCACCCTGACGTGCTGGTGAACAGCCGTCTAGCTGATGGCACCCTAACATCTAGCTAGATCACTTTCTCCCTGCAGTCAGCTCACTGGCCTCCCGCCAAACAGCTCACTGGCTGTCAATGCTCGGATGCCCGATGAATTGACTTTTTTACCTGGGGCCTCACCTTCCTCGCACCTCACCATCAGGCAGTGCGCCGCTGCTGGCCGCCCTGTAAAGCGCAGCCATGCTGAGTCGACCGGTGAGGCAGCACCGCCGTTGGACGGGTCTTGGCCTCAGGTCACCAGTCACCAGCGAGCCGGGCGGGCGGGAGGTGCGGCGGAAGGCCCCTGACTGCAGCCGTCTCGCAGCACCCTCCAGTCGCCGCCCGGGCGGAGGGACGGGCGCCGGCCGGCCGCCGGTAGCCTGGCCGCACCAGCCGCCCGGGCAGGGGAATGGGCGCCGGCCGGCCGCCGGTAGCCTGGCTGCGCCAGTCGCCACGCTGGTGAGGCTTCTGTCGAGCTGCGGCTCCGGCGCTGCGAAGCACGCCGGGCGGCCTGACAGCGAGAGGAATCATCGGGCTTCCGGGCCGCGTGGCCGTGGTTAGACGGCGGCGGCAGAGTCGTGTATTCCAGGGGATCCACCCCGGCTAGGGCACAACAGCTAACCGCAACGGCCGCAAAATCCGTGACATTGACCGTAGGCAATTTGCACGCTGCTGAATTCATTCAGCGAGGATGCCTCAAAATATGAATTATGCTTTCGCGCAAATGTGCAATATTATGCAGGAAAACATGTTTTGTGGCATCACGAAATGAGATATGTTGGCAGACAAGTTTTAAAGAAATGTCGAGATTCTGCTGGACATAGCTCCTGAAATGGGTTTAGTAGATACCGATTTAATCAAGAAGAAGATTTCACAGCCGACGCCACGCCGATGCATAATTTCTGTAGCATGCAGCATTTGTCATTCGGTAACTTTAATTCAAATAGATTGGTGGAGGAATCCTGCCAAGAAATAAACTTGTGAAGACTGAAGCCGACGTTGTGTTTAATATGTGGAAGCACCGAGTGCAGCCGGAAACAGGCGCAGTTTCAAGGAAAGAAGCGGCTAGCGCCGCTCAGCTATACTTAATCAGGCAAATTACTCATTCACGCTGTCGTGGCATTTCGAAATCTTGGAAGCAGCAGCGGGAAGCATTTCTGGCAGACGTGATCCAATATTGGTAAGCCCCTGACATTTATAAATGGTTGCTCTACATATTCCTCGGTGTTGTGTGAGTTAATGTTCTAAGAAGTTCTCCGGTTCGACCATGCAGAACTTGTATTTATCAGCCATCCGCCGAAAATGCCGGGCTTGACAGCACCCGGTCGTCTTTTAACGTTGGTATTGGGGTCGCTTCCAACTCACACAATATGTATATATTATGTAGTAAAGAAATATCAGGTGAGTTATTTTTCGCCGGTCTGCGATGGCTCTAAACCGCCGAGGCCCGGGACCCCAGCGCAGAAGTATGTCTGTCACTTCCGCCGGCACCTCAAACCTGCCCGCAATCGCCTGGCGGCTTAGCTCCTTCCTCAGGCTCAGTTTGGGTCTAGCTTGCTTGTGTGCAACGTAAAACTTGCACACCGAGTTACCCAGTTCACCAGCCATCTTTCTCAAATCGTGCTGCAAACAAATCGGTTCGGCATTCGGTATCGTAAAAAGCAGCATCTTATGCTACCATGAGTAGCAGGTGGCTGGAGAAGGGGGCAAACTGACTGACTGGGGCAAACGTCTGGTTACTCTAGAACACATAACCAGTATTGTGCATTGCGCCCCGCCTTATAGAATATAATCAACTGTACTAGCGCTTCATGCGTCGACCATACACTTCACAGCCCTTCCAAGCGCAAGATTCATTCCGAGTAGGACTTCATGAGAGTACTAGCTGCTGGCATGTCCGAGAACGTGCCGCCAGCTGCTGCGGCCAACGGCGATCAGAGAGCCATACGTTTGCAGGAGACATTTCGTGAACAGCTCTGGTTTCAGGGGCAGGGGTTCATCTGGTGCGCGTGTCTGGCAGGGGCCGAAACAGCGTGGCACCTTTTGCTGCAAGTGTCGCACAGGTTCAACTGTGAAATGCAGGGATGTAGAATTTCCTATTCAGTTGGAAGGCAGCCCCCCGTTCCCACTTGGGCTGCAGCCCACCCCAACTTTGAGAAGCCAGTAGTCTAAATCCGGGCAGAAACCTGTTTATTGGCTATCTGAGGGCAAGCTGCGTCATTTTCACTGCTCAGGCCCAGGGGGTGTCATCCGTATCGTTTAACACCATCGAAAAGTGACAATATCGAACTGCGTGGGAAAAGGGGTAGGCTGGACACAAAGCCTGCATGACGTCATGCATACCATATTTGGTGGCGCCAGCGG